ACGTTTGAAACGCTGTAATTCCGTTAGTTTTACTCGCATTGACTTTTTTTACAGAATATTTTACAATTTTTACAGAATATTCTTTACATATTGTTAATTCAAAAAAAAAAAAAAAATAAATAAAAATAAAAAAGAGAAATACTAATTTAAAAATCAACTCTTCACTCGCCGCACTAGAGAGCAAGGTGAGGGAGATAGCACCAGGCCACTGGCGGAACAGGCTGCGTCATCTCCAAGGCTATCTGGCCGGATCTCGGTGTAAAAAGGAACACCAAAGAACAGGATTCGGACCTTAACAGGAGTAATAACGGGGCAATGTGCCATAGACCAAATGGCAAATAGGTACAAGGTCCTATTCCACGACTTCTGCATGAAGCTTCGAAGATGAGGAGGAACCAGAAACTGTGGAGCAACTCCTGTGTACATGCCCGGCACTTCAAAGGAATGGACTTCGGTTTCTCGGAGCCTACTCGCTCGAGGACTTGGACTGTGTATCAGGGATCTCTCTCCTAAATCTGGCTCAATTTTGCAGAGCTTCACCCTCAGCAAGGAGTTAGACTGGGACCTTTTGCGGGTATCACAATGGGCCAGTAGGCTTCCGAGTGCTCACGTCGTAACAGACGAGCACCCACTTAACCTACCCTAACCTAACCTAAACTGAATATATTGTTGTTTCTTAGTTATTTATACGCTGCTAAATATATTTCATGTGCTGTTAGATTTGCGGAAAATAATTTCTTTTTTAAGTTTATTTCAATCTTAGGGCATGTGCAATAATTCTTTCCAATTTTCGTATATATAAGTACCTTTTAATTACTATATTGTCAGTAGAAACGTTGGATTCAATTCCTTTTATAACCACTTGCACCCCCTTGCTGTGTTAAAGCTGGTACTTTTAAAAGCTTTTATTTTTTTTTTGTAAAGCTCTGGTTATAATTCGGTAGTTCTCATAATTTTGACATTAAGTGAAAGGAATAATCGCCGATGAGGTGAGTAATTGAGTTCACCAACTTATTTCTTTTCTTATTGTTTCACGTTAGTAAATTGGCTTTGGTAAAGAGTTTATGCTTTATTCCGTTGTCATTGTTCGGAAGCGCGAATTTATTTCCGCAAAGACGATGTTTAATCTTTACCAATTTAGAAACATTTTCGATTTTGTTTGCGCACTTGGCGCTTGTATTTTAAATCAATAGTTGTAGGGCGAGAGCGGGAGCCAATAAAGCTTTAGTCCGTTCGCTCTTGCGAATTCGCCCCGTCTCTCGCCACCGTAGCATAAGTTAGGTTCTAAGAGAAATTATTGAAATATTAAAGTTAGTGATCAACCAAACGACATCGTAGCCACTCCTTTTCGTCGCCGTGCTTTCAAAATAGTTTCTTCACAAATAACGTAAATTAAATCTCGAACTACTGCAGTCACAAGTTTTTCGCGTTGTTAATACATGACAGTATTAGATTTTCAGTTTTTTTGTTGGGTGCGCGCTAAGCGTACATCCCAGCTTTGAACATTTTAGATTTGTGATGATGGTAATGATAATGATGATGATGATGAAAACAACGCTGTTGCCGTCTTGTTTTTGTAGTTGTAGTTGTGAGAAAGGAAATCACCACTGTAACAGTGCTGGTTATGTTTACTTGCATTGTTTTGGCAATTTCTTGCGGAGTAATTGACGACTGCGAGGGCTAAGAGGTATTTTGCAAGCTGAGGGGCGCGGGAGAGACCGAGTTTTCGTACTCTTCGGTGCTTTTCGGAGAGTATAAAGAGAAATATGCGTTTCGTAGATCGGTTTGGAGCCTACGTGGGGTTTCTGAGACTTCTAGGTTCTTTGAACCCAATTTGGTGCACTTTGCACTTTGTTTTGTCGGGAATAGCACACGGGAAGTACTTGTATTTTATTGTATGTTGATATATCTTTAACTGCACTTGTTTCACACTCGCATGCAACAACAATTCAACTAATTTGTTAATGCACTTTGTGCCGTGTTGACGTCATTTCAATTTACAGACAAAGTTTGTTTTTATGTAGTCCCATTCCAATCCAAATTATCTTTATTTGTTTTTCTCGTGCGTGCATTGGTTTTTTTGTGAGTATAATTACCATACTCCCTATTTCTTGAGACCCACTCAAAATAATATGTTTAAAGCCAATATCAATAACCGAATCGATATTTGGTTATCCGTAATCTTCAAAAAATCATTTGGGCTAGCACCACAAATTGGACTTGATTGGGTGGATACTGGTTAAAGAATTTTAAACTTGCCATACTTTGCTTTCTTTTTTTTTTCAATGGAAGCACTACGATGCCGTCTGCTTAAAAAAATAAAACCGTTATTCTGAAAAAATGTAACAGTAGCTGGAATTTACGGGAATTTAAGGGTTTTATAATCAGTTGAATTTTTTCCAAATGCATTAACATACAAATTTCATAATTAATGTACATGATATCCAACAATATCCCGCTCGTATTATTTGGTTTCTAAATATTCTCGCCAAATGTTCGGACCGATCGTTATCGTTTGAGAAAATGTACAAGAAAGGGAACCCGCATACCCACGAACCCTAATCTCAACCCCAACCCTCTTGTGCGTCCTGATGACTGCTTGTGCGCGAAGGTGTGAAAGTGAGAAAGGGTAAGAAAAAGAAAACCCGCATACCCACGAACTCTAATCTCAACACCCACCCACTATTGCGTCCTCACGACTGCTTGTGCGCGAAGGTGTGAAATTATAATTTTGATAGTTTTGATGAAAAATAACAATTTTTAATTAAGAATCGTGAAAATTATACTATTGGAAAGGCCTTGAAAAATGCTTTCGAATGATACCAAATTTTTTTTTTATTTTTTGGTGGGGGGAGCATATAATTTTTTTGGGGTAGTAGTGGGGACTTACGGGAGCAGCGAATCCGGCTTATCCTAGACAATCACCATGGGTTTGGGGTGTCTTAGCTTACCGCCGCTCCTGACGACCGCCGCTCCCGACCGCCGGTTTACCATTGTAAACATTACTATATCCTTAAAAATTTTAAATGTTTTAATTTTTTCAATTAATTTTTCCGATTTTTTCCTGCTTGTTTCGACTTATACACTACCTACTAGAAATACCAGTTTTGGAAAAGTTTTATTCGGACGGACGGACGGACGGACACACGGACATAGTTAAATCGGCTCTTAAAGAGATGATCATCAATATATATGCTTTATAGAGTCGGAAATTTCTACTTCACTGCGTTGCAAACTTTTGACTGAAATTATAGTTTAAATTAATCTTAACCTTTCATTTTTAAGCCGCATATTTTCTTAACTTAACTTTTCACATTAAAGAAATTTTTTTTAAGCCCGTGAAACTTGGGAAACCAAAATGTTTGCCAGAAGAGAAAAAATAACTTTAAAAATTACTCTACGACTAACAGGTAAAAATACTCAGCTTTACATTTTGATGATATAAATAGCGAATTCAAAAAGCCACACATTGCCAATAAAATTAAAAAAAATGTGGCTAGATAAACACAAGTTTTGCAATTAGGAGCAGAATTGAGCAAAAAGGGTTAGTTTTATGACAACAATGACTTTTGTAGTTATGTTCTCGTTCTTACTCTTTAGCCAGACTGTGCTAATGATAAGTAATGTTCCACATAACACAAACACAACTGTTGGTTAAAATCTTAAGACACACCAATGAAAACTAAAAAGCTAATTTACATGAATAAATACCTTCGCAAAGAATTTTTATTTGCTGATAAATGAAACTTTATTTTTACACAAAACGACGAATACGCCAAGTTTTCCAAATTTCGTCCAGTTTAACCACATTGCAAAGTCTCTAAAACATCTGACTTTGTTGCTGTGACAACACTACAGAGTTGCAAACCTACAATTTTTGGAACGCTTTTTTTCAAATCATGGTATCTAGATTCCATTAGTATTGACCATTCTTAAAAATTAATTAAGAAACTAAATAGCTTTTTGCACCAAAATCGGGTTTTTACGCATAGTGGATTGGCTTTATTGTTTATATGTTGTTGCAATAGGTCGACGCATTCTAAGAATAGACTTCCGATCAAAATTTTATTACACATAGTAAATTTATATAAGGTCAAGTAATAAGTAATCCATTATGTGAACAATAGATGACTTTAGTGATCTGTATTTCGCGTTGTATAAGTTCGATTTAATTTTAGAAGGTGGTGTTAGATAGCTAACGTACTATAGAAGCTTCTTAAAAAAGTTTTTTATCGATAACACAAACGCTTTGAGAGCTCGATAAATATGGAGAGCGGCAAATAAAAAATTCGCTATGTTTTACAATTTTTCTTTGATAAAGGCAAAACGCAAGCCAGGCTACTGAAATATTCAATTAGATATATGGCTCTAATACTGTAACGCCAAAATTTGATGTTAAAGATGATATACTCTGCGGAAGGCCAATCGTCCGAAATGCCAATAAAATAATAGAAATCGTTGTGTTTGACCGTTATCCAAGCAGTAAATCAGTTGTCTAGGAGCTAAACATTGCTCAAAACAGTTTCGAACCATTTAACTGAGGCTGAAAACACAAAAAAGCTCAACCCTAGACCACACACAGCAATAGAGACTCGCCAGAAGCTCCGAGAGCTTGGATGGGAGGTTTTTTTGCATCCACCTTACAGCCCGGATATCGCAAAAAGTGGCTACCACCTTTTCCTATCAATGTCCAACGATTTAAATAGTGTAAAATTAGCTACACAAGAGGATTGGGAAAACCGACTGGCTCAGTTTTTTGTTATTAAGGACGAAGGATTTTATAAGAGGGGTATCGTGAAATAACCAAAAAAATTACAATTAATTGTAAATAAAATGGTGCTTATTTGAAATAAATCGGTTTATTCTTACCATAAAAAATGCTTTGAAGTTCATGTTCAAATAATGGATTACTTGTTACTTGACCTTATTTTTTTGGCCAATACAAAAATGCACTAAAATACTTTGTAGAACCACTAAACAGCTTATCAATGTTATTTCAGGATCAATTTCATTGCATCAAACAAATCAACGATTTCCCCGCGATTTATTCATGAGAAAATCATTTTCTGATGACATACACCAATTTGTTGAGCTATGCCTGAATAAAAATCCAAGATCTCGATGGGCTGCATCAAAGTTAATGACACACTCGTTTCTGAAGCAATGCCGCCAATCTAGTTTTTCAGAACTATTCAAAGACTTTCGTTTTGATTCGTCCACATTTAAATCTGAAGAACGTAAGTAATATAATTTAGTTTACCTAAATAAGTAATATTAATAGAATGGTATACAACATTTTAAATTAACAATAATAAATATTTGTTACAGTAAAGAATTTTTCACAATTTTTATATCAGTCTGTCGTGTTTAGCCTGGCTGTCCTGGTGGTCCTGGCTGTCATGGATGTCTATCTTAACGATCTTAACGTATGTCTTCAAACTTCATTTTAGGATCTGAGCCAAATTGCTGATGGGAGTACAAAGTCGGTCAACATTTTTCTTCATTTTTTATATCAGTTCTTATATATCCTTGATATGAAAGGGCCAGAGCAAACAGTCCAGAGACGATTCCGACAGGAGATCAGCTAGAACTTGCAATACCAGATCTAAGACCATTTGTTGAAGTGCAAATTTTCAACAAAACTTATGTATGCCTTTTTGAATCATGAGCAACGTTGTTTTACTTATGTGAAAATGTAGCAGAGGATTATCTTGAGTTTGAATTAACAAACGCTTCGAAAAATTGATGGGTTGATGTAAAGAATTATTCTTCCAAAATTTTAGAATGGAGTGGTCGTCTGTTTAGATGATTTACTATACTACTGCTTGGCGCGGAACTTGATAAACAATTGGGTTTGCTCGCAAAAATTTAAAGTTTGAAGAAGTGTTAAATTTAAATTTATGTGACTTTCGGCTACGTCGTTCGCTTAAGGAACTCAGAAAGTTCCTACGCATTAGTAAATGCCATTTCTGCGGTTGTATATCAATTTTATTCGACCGTACCCAATATTCATAAAAGGTATTATAGGAATTTTTCTAGTCTTTATTTTCTTCAGCAAGATTCCCCTCTTGACTGTTCATAGAAACTTGTCCTCTGAAGCAGGCTTCCTGAAGAATCACGTGCTTACCATTTTTGGTGTCCTTGCGGCTCTTCTGCTACTGCTGCTGCTGCTTTTCGTCGTTGTCCTCCCCAGCATCGCTCCTCGCCGTTGACTGCTTGCTGGTGTCACAACCGTGACGGCTCCTCCGAGACTCTGAATGTTATACGAACCTCCCAATCCGGGGCTGGCAAGGTGTATCGCCTACCAGATAGAAATAGGTTCTGCCTCTTCGCCCAGCCACCTTCATTCCACCCTCAACGCAAGGACTCCTTGAGCTCGATTTAACCACGATCTAGCACCGTTGGATCTCAGCGTTATAGCCGTAGCCTTTTAGACTAGTCATCGTTCGGTGTCTCGACTTTGCGATCTTGATCCTGGCACTTGTCACTTGATTTACATGCTACTGGTCTCAAGTACTCGCACCCGCTCTGATTCTCGCAATACTACTTCGGGGTGAGCTGCGCTTGCACCGCCCTTTTATAGTCTGTGGTGATCCTGTTATCCTTCTACGGCTCCTGCCATAGCGCTTCGCGCCAACGGGCCTCGCTGCCGCCCGTTTGGTCTCAAACCGAGTATAGGGACACCCGGCTTGTTCGATGGTGCTACCTCTCCCAGCCGGATCCGCGCGATCCCGGCCGCCGGGCGCTTTAATCGGCGGAAACCCATCCAGACTTTTGCCGCAAACAGCGTCGTCGGACGAGAGAGCGAGACCACTCCCTGGTCCGCCTCGTGGTCACCAGTAGCCATCTCGGCCATCTCGTTATCTCGCCCGGAGACGATGACTCGTCTTAAGCCTCGCTGACTGGTGACGGGGTCAGCCTCGGTTTCCGCGCATCCTCAGTTCCGTTATTCGCGGCGACGTGTACCGGTAACGGGACTCGGCCTCCGAATACACAGCTTCTACGGAACTTGCATAACCGGCGTTGTAAGCAGGTTACGGTATCTGCGGCTTTTAGCCCTAGCTCTCGGGCTCCTGTTTTTTTTGTTTATTCCGTTTATTTGCTTAAATCTAGTAACATAACAAAAGAAAATGAAGATTTTAAGTGGACGTAAGCTGACAATGATTCGCACAACAGCGACAGCTTATGGGTCCAGTCCCCTCCCCTCTCTCCCTCTGCATTCCTGAGTTTCCGCATTACAGACGCGTCGAATTTGGCCGTCGTCATGGTTTGCGTTTTCTTCCATTCTAGAACCGCAGGTTGGAGTTCCATTTCCCGTGTCGTGTCCGTACTTCTTCAGATACGTGCGGAAGCATCCGTGTCAACTCAGGATCTGAATAAGGTAGAACCCCACCTGACCATGCTTCCTTTCCAGCAATGGACTCAAGACTGGTATAAGAGCATAAGTTCAGCACCCATACGTCTCTCTTTCAGGCTGTCGCACCTCGCGCCTGGATAGTTGGTCCATACTAGAGACCTTTTCCTCCACTTCTACTACAGGAATGTAAGTGCGTACCAAGCGTACGAGGGCGTCATGGCGGCTTTAGCCCGGACCGGGGCGGCGTATAGCACTTGCGACCTAACAACGCCCACCATGAGTTTCCTCCGATCCTGCTTCGGGTCCACCGTGTTCAGTAGGATCCAAGTGAGCGATCTGGAGTTCGCTGCCGCCTTGTAATTAGCGTACGCTAATGAATGACAGCCTGGTGTCAATTATCATTCCTAGGTATTTCTCTGGGATAATATACTGACCCCGCCGACCATCAGTTTCGTTGTCTCGACGAGCTGCCGGCTGCTTAAGAGAACAGCCTCCGTATTGTGGGCAGCGAGCTGGAGACCAGAAAGTGCCAGCCATGACTCCACCTTCCTCACTGCTGTGTTGGCCCATTCCTCCACTTGGGCTACCGTCTTAGCCACGATCGTGATGTCGACGTCGTTCGCGAGTCCAGTTACTCGGATGTTGGCAGGCATGTTAAGAATCAGCAGTCCGTCGTACATCGTGTTCCACAACAGGGGACCCAGAACCCATCATTGTGGCACCCCAGCAGTAGCGGTGTACTCTTTGGGGCCGTCGCTCGTTTCGTACAGCAACAACCAAGGTAGCTGTCGTCGATCTTTATTAAATACTCCGGGATCAGTTGCCGCCTCAGGGCCGTAAGATGTCGAACGTGACCAGTAGGCAGTATTTCTTCGTTCCGCCTATCCAGTTATGGCTCCCGTTGCTATCCAGATGTTCGAAATGAGTTTCTCGAACACTTTGCCGATTGGGTCGAGCAGACACATTGGTCTGTAGGAGAAAGCTTCTCCAGGCTTCCTTGGTTTGTTCAGCAGCAACAGCTTCTGGATTTTTCACCTGCGCCAGCGCTGGCTTCATAGCTTTTTTGGGCACTGCATCCGGCCGTGGAGCTTTCTTGTTCTGCAGACTCCTTCCGACTTCCGCAACCTCAGCCTCCGTTATCGCGTTGATCTCCTATTAAAGACCCATTTCGTATTGTGTTCGCCCCTTGACGCCACCCGTTGGAAACAAAGTGCGAAAGACCTCGTTCAGGGTTTCGTAGTCCGTTGGACTCCCCGTCCTCGCATTACTGGCAGAAAAGGTTTTCCGCGTGCCAGAACCGATTTAAATATGCTTTAAAGCAACCGTTTCCAGTGAGCACTTGGCTCAGGCCACCTGGCATGCTTCCACGCTTCTATGCTGGGAATAAGTGCCAAGCCCAGCGACCCGTGTTGGCGTTATCCCATGTTTGTTGCCAGCAGGATTGAGTTTTCGGTTTGTTTCTCATCAGCTAGCAGGTCTACTGATATCATGTTGGGTACAACCAGTGACGCATTCTCTGAAACTGTGCAGAAACATCGGGACACTCTAAAAGAGCATTGCTATAGCTGCGTCTACACTCTCTGCTGTATGACGGCGCTTCATAGCTGGTGCCCATAAGCTCGATACGTAGAGTATCGCTGACGACCCACCGTTACAAATATATATATAATTCAACTTTCTCATTAAAACTTAAAAAGAACATTCCAAACACTGGCCTTTTATTATTCAAACGCGCGCCCAAAGCCAACAGCACCCGGTCACATTTATTCGACGAAGTTATCGATTGCCGATAATCATCGCCCAATAAACCCGATTACCCAAAGCGGTATTATCATCATCGTTCGATCTGGTCACACTAAGCAGCGCCTATATAAGCGGAGACACAGCCCCAGCCCAGTCACTTGCGTTCCGACGACTGTTGAGGAAACAACAACAAGGAGGAATAGCCGGGTAAGTGTTCTGGTAGTTAGACTTGGTAGTGGTGGTGGATACGTAAGAGTTCGGTTTGAAATTCGGCTCTACGACCTGGTGAGGATCACCGACGCCCGGTGTGGTTTAGGAATACGCACCCAGGCCCGGTCGAGATCGCTGAGCCCGGCACGGTTTTCGTTACTCCGGCCCATCTAAGTGAGTTCCTCCCAGAAGTCACGTTTCCGGCTTCCGACCCGGAAACGATACGGAATAAAACGGCAGCTCGAAACTAACGATGCCCGGCAGCTCGACTCTAACGATGTCCTACATTCCCACATCCCACTAGAAAATCCAAGTAGTTCGTTCCTCTAAAGCGACCCAGAACACTACGAACCCGACGTACTCGAACGACGAGGCACGACGACGCCAAGCAGTGCACAATCGGCCCTTCCGAAGCGCCAACACCAAGCAGTGCACCCAGCTACCGCACGACGTCAACAACAAGCGGTACACTCAGCCATCACATATCGGCAACGCCAAGCAGTTCCTCGAACCATTGCGCAGTGCCAGCAGTAAGCAGTGCAACATAGGCCTTCCGTAGCGCCGATCCCGCACACAAAGCAGTGCGATACTCAACGAGCTGCGATATACTCGGCCCTTCCGTAGCGCCGATATCAACAAGCAGTACCACACTCGGCCCTTCCGCAGCACCGATATCAACAAGCAGTACCACACTCGGCCCTTCCGCAGCGTCGATATCAACAAGCAGTACCACATTCGGCCCTTCAGCAGCGCCGACCCCCTTATCAAGAAGTATCACGCTCGATATAATTGTAGTTAGAAAACGTAGTCTTAATCAATCATACCATTAAAATATAAACATACTCTGTAGCGTTCGATTTGTGTTATTCTTTAGGGAAAGGGAGGTAAACCGATTAAAAGAGGAAATAAATTTCTGTCTCGAACCCT